GTCGGCCGCGACCGGACGAGGAGCGCGCGCCCCCCCGCGGCGAGCCCGGCGAGGCGCCCCGCGGCGGCGGGGCGCGAGCGGGCGGGGGCCACCGCCGCAGGGGCCATCGACGCGCGGCGCCCGCGCGGCGGGCTCGCGGCGGGGCGGCCATGGCCGCGGCGCGCCCTCGGAGGGGCCGCGCGGCCACTCGCCGCCCCTGCGGTCGCTCGCTCGGGGGCGGCTCGAGGGGGCGGGTCGGATCGGATCTGGCCCGGCGGACGGCCGGACCGCCTCGCAAGGCGGCGCATGGGGCGGCGAGGGAACCCACTGGACGGGGGGAGGGGGGCAGCGGGAGGGGGAAAGGACGGAGAGACCTCGTGCATCCGAGCCTGCAGCAACAGGAAGGCGGACACAACCACCAGGGCCAGCGAGGAGGAGGAGGAGGAGGAGGAGGAGGAGGAGGAGGAGGAGGTCGCGAAGCGCATGAGCAGTGCAAGCCTCCAGTAGGTCGAACTGGCGGCTATTTGCCACGAAGTGGCCCTGTCAGCCCTAGTCAACAGAGGCAGGTGGCGATGCAGCTCAGGGCCAAGCGGCGCCCAACCGTAGCGGAACGGCCGCTGAGGCACGGCGATGCGTGAAGGTGGCGAGCACGGTGGGGGCGAGCTGCGACGATGTCGCGATCCGTCGTCCCCCCCCCCGGTCTAGACATCCTAAAGAACTGAATTTAAGACAGCCCAAGCTGGTCCCCAAACGCCCGAAGATGGCCTCAAGACGGCCAAAGAGGTGCCCAAGACGCCACAAGAGGGTCCGAAATGGATCCCGACGCGGGCTTCCAGAATGCACCGGGGATCCCCAAGAGAACCCCAAGCAGGCCCCACAATTTCCGAGGAGGCTACCTCAGACAGCCCGGGAGCCGCAGGATGGCCCTAAGACAGCCCAATAGGGCCCCGAGGGTCCCCGAAGATGGCCAAGAGGGGCCCAAGACAGCCCACGAGGGGCTCCAAGAAGGCCCCAAGAGGGGGAACTCGAAGTCACATTTCGCGCTCTCCGCCCTAAGGTGACACCCGAGACCGCCATCAGGCCCCCAAGGGCCCCCCCAGAAGTCCCTGGAGGGCCTCCAGGAAGCTCAAATCAGGCCCCAAGAGGCCCCCAAGAGGTCCCGAGAGGCCCCAAGACATCCCCCAAACCGCCTCCAGGAGGCTTCCGAAAAACCTTCCCAGAGATCCCCACAGGTGTCCAAGAGGCCCCTGACTTACAACCTGGTCATGGTGGCAGGTTAAGCCGCAGGCTACTATAGATCCCAAGAAGCCTTCAGGCCCTCCTGGCAAGGACAGCTGGCATGCGCGCTGCGTCACGACTCTCGATGCTGCGCGCCACTTCGCCAAACTCGCAGGAAGCTGCTGGTGATGCGCCGCCGGCGGCCTCGATCGAGTCTTTCCACATGTCACCAGAGCGACTGCTAGGAGCATTAGATCCGAGCACATCTAGATTATCGTCGTTGCTCTCGTTGTTGCCGTCTCCGTCTGTCTCCGTCGTCGTTTTCATCGTCGTTTGTTTTGGGGCGTCGTTTTTGTCGTCACCGCCGTCGCCGTTGTCGACTTCGTCATCGTTGTCGGAGTTGTCGTTTGTTCCACCTCCTCATCCCTCCCGAGGTTGATGCCATTGTCGTCGTCGCTTCCATCGTGACTCCTTCTCGTTCCTCCTCCCTCCTTTCCTCCTCCTGGAGGAGGAGGAGGAAGAAGGAGCCGCAGGAAACTCTAACAGCCAGCGGAACCACTTTACAAAATCCTAGGACCAACCAACATCCCTCCCTCCGTCTTCTCGTAATTGCTTGCCGCTGTTCTCCGCTGGGGGGGCAATACTTGTCCTCCCTGGGCGGCGCCAGCAGTAGGCAGTGTGCCAGTGTTTGACATGTCGATGCATCCTCGATGTGAGGCCAGGTCTAGTTCGCTTCTCTCCTTCTTCTTCTTCTTCTTCTTCGTCTTTCTCCTCCTACGCCGCTCCTCCTTCCTCCTCCGTCGCGGCACTATTCTTACCTTCAGTGTCGGTGCGAGTAGCGTCACGGCGCTGGCAGCCGGCGGAACCACTGGAACCACTGAAACTATCAAGAGCCCTCCTCTTCCTCCTCCTTACCTCCTTACCTCCTCCTCCCCACCCTGCTGTTCCACATGAAAATCCTCTTCCAGAAGGCTGGGTGCGTTGCAGGGGGGAGGAGAGAGGGAGGGAGGAAGGGAGGGAGGAATGAAGAGCTTGGAGCAACAGAGGAGGCCGAGGGAGGAGGAACTACGCGAGAACATCAGCAAAGTGGGCAAGCCCAACTCTGTTCAACCAGAGCGGACCGCATCATGTGAACCTACACCAGACCTCCGAACATACCGAGGAAGCAGAAGTCCAGAGGAATACTCAAACATAGTCGGTCCTGGCAAATTCTAGACGCTTCGCGTATCCTCACCAGCTTGCCTACCGCTCCCTGTCCGCTGCCTCGGAGCCGCCGACCAAAAAAGTATCCTCACCAGCTGCCCGTGGCCCGGACCTTTCAGCTCGGCGACTGCGATTCCGCGTCCGCCCGCGACCAAAAAAGTATCCTCACCAGCTGCTGGCCCTTTGGGGTTATGGCCGCCGGTTCACTCAGGAGGGGTACAGCCTTCTTGTACGGATCTGCGCGTCCCCCGTTGGCCCGCTGTCGCTGGGCTATTCGTGGTCCCGCACTTCGCCACGTCTGTGGCCCTGACCCCTGGCGCCCGGTGGCGACAAGGTCCTACAGCGTACCTGGTGATCTGCTCCCATGGTACCCGCAACGGGTCCGAGAGTGCTTGCACCCATCCGGCTCTGTTCTCCTGTCTGCTGGCTTGGCGGGCCTGGATTTTAGTTCATCATTGGAGGCCTGGAAATTGGCACCAACACCAGCACAAGAGGTTGCCTCCACATGGGGAAACTGATCCTAGATTTCGGTGTTGGTGGTAATATTTCGGTCACCTTGGAAACTAAAATATTACCACCATCACCGAGATTGGGATCGTCCTCCCTCGGTGGAGGCACACCGCCGATCTTGGTGTTGGTGTCAACCTCTAGGCCTGCGACATCAGGCGGTGCAGCCTTCTGGTCTGACGGATGATCTGTGATTCTACAGCCCAGACATCGACGCTTCCTAGCGTGCAGGTTCAATTCACCCTGGTGCTCCATCTGGGTCTCGCACGTGTGCAGCTTGCAGCCCTAGCAGCTTGCAGTCCCCACCCCTGGCGCCCCAGCTCAGCTTCAGCCAGCTGCCCATCCGGCGGTAGGTTCTGATCGCGCGCTCGGTACCGCGCCTTTGCTCGCTTGTCGCTGTATAATTAGGCTCGCGCGTAGCCCGCCCGACCTTCGGATGCCGCCTGCGCTTTCGCTTGCGGCCGCGACCAAAAAGTATCTTCACCAGCCCATCCAGAAACGATGTCCAGGCGAGTTGAGAGGTGATCAGGGAAGTGCGGGAGCAAAGAGGGGGACGGCCGAACCGTGTGAAGGAGAGAGGGTGCGAAGGAGAAAATTGGATGGATGGATGAGGGAGTAGGGAGAAGGAGGTCGAAGAGGATGATGATGATGATGATGATGATGATGATGATGATGATGATGATGAGGAGGAGGAGGAGGAGGAGAAGGAGGAGGAGGAGGCGGAGGGAGAGGAGAAGGATGAGAAGGGATAGGAGGAGGAAGGAGGAGGAGAGCAAGCAAAAGGGCCAGAGGTCTCTTGGATGCTTCTCGGAGCCTCTTGGGGTATCTCTTGGGCTTCTTGGGACGTCTTGGGGGTCTCTTGGCGGTCGTGGGGTGCTCTTCGGCGTGTTGGGTGCCTCGGGGGGGCCTCTTGGGGCCGCTTGGGATCCTTTGGGGGGCCTCCTGGGGGCCTCTTGGGGGCCTCTTGGGGCCATCTTGGGGCCATCTTGGGACCTCTTGGGGCCTCCTGGGCGCTTCTTAGGGCCATCTTGGAGGAGGTCGATCAAAAAGAGGGGAGCTTCAATCAGCGTCCCCCCCAAGAGGCCAAAATGGGGCCACGACCCTAATAAAATCAATGAGTTTGGCTTCCTCGCCGAGGCCGTTTTGGACGCTCAGGCACCTCGCGGAACCCCCTATCCAGGTCCAGGGGAGGGGGTAGAGGGAGGGGTAAACCGCTCCACGAAGGGGAAGACGGAGGTGTGGAAGGGGAAACTCCCTAAACCACCTACGCCCAGAGGGCTGATGGGATTCTAAGAATTCCAAAACGAGCGACAATGGTCGGCCACTAATGAAAACCAACTGATTCTACAAATATGTCTTCGCCATTTTGCCTAGCAAGAGCAGGCACGCATCACTCTATACGGCCTACATGTTGGTGATGGCACCAGCGGTGCATCTTTGCGCGATAGCCAAATCATGTCAGCGAGCTACGTGACAAGCGGAGCTCACTATATTCCTTCGTGCACTATAGACGGTGCAACTTCCCTCACTAATCATCACTACTGCGAGCACCGAAAGCATATGCTCGAACACACTCGCATGAAACACATTGCGCGAAAGACCCATCGCCCAGGGAAGTCACACTCGCGCCCAAACCATACTCAAAACTAGTAGACGCCAAACCAACTTTACCATCCATCTCTAATGCCATGAACTTAACAATCAATCGCGACTGCAGGTCGCCAACATCAAGAACAATGTAACTGACAGCGCGGTGACCCCTGAATGATAGCAGTATGCGGACGTCGCCACTTTTACCCAGGACAAACGCATGCATGTGTCTGTCATCGGTCTCTGGCTCTCGATCTATGGGTGTGGCAAGCTGGCCAGGCAAAAGGCACGGACAAGTCACACACCCGTTTGTGAGACCACCAGGCGTGTCAGAATGAACCCCCTCCTCCCAACTCGCCCTGCCACCAAACGGACGTTGTCAAACTTGCCAGGGGGCTGGGTTGCCAAGGTTGTGTGGCACTCCCTTGTGCCCCATGAAGTCTGCATGCTGGTCGATGGACTCACCATGAGGTCCACAAAGGCGACCTCCCTTTCACATCTCATCATGCGTCCAGCTGCGTCATGGCCGCTCGACGCAGCCGCTCCAGGTGGCCGATCATGGGCCCCAGGTACCTTCAGGCATGTCCCCAAATCCACTTGGGCAGCCCGCGGTCGACTGCTGATCAGCAAGCATAGCTTGGAAGCAGGTTTTGCCAGAGGTTGTTTCCCAAGAAGTCTGCGACGCTTCACCTACGGCCCAGAGGCAATCCCAGAAGGCCTCCAAATGCGCAGCTACAGCCTACACGACGACTGATGAGAGCGCACGGACCTCAAACCCCCATGTGTGAGGAATACTGTGCATGTAGTGGCCCACGTGCGGAATCCCATGCATGCGAAACCCTGTGTAGAACCATGCGTGCGTGCGCGTGTATCTGTGTGTGCGTGTTTGTCTGTGTGTGCGTGTGCGTGTGCGTGTGGAAGCCCACATTTGTGGCTCCGTTTGTGTGTGTATGTTTTGTGCCTATGCGCGCGTGTGTGTCTGTGTGCTTTCGGTTATACTTGTGTGTGTGTATGTCCGGCCTGCCACTCCGCGGGACGGCACCTTGGAGCCGCAGCTTGCAGCCCTGGCGCCCGCCCTCGGTGCCAATGCGGGTGCCTGCCATCTGCCCTGGTCTCCAGACGCCGCCGCGGCCCACCTGATCCGGTTCGCTCTGCGCCCGCCATCTGCTGTGCCCTTTTGCCTGGCACGCCGCTGGCTGGGTCAGCCCCCCTGCCGCGCGGCCAGCTGCAGCATCAGCAGTCAGCTCCGCCCGCCGCCCTCCTGCCCGGGCCTTCCGCCCACCCTGCTGCACCTTGCCTCTTTCGTGGTCGCCCGCCAGCTTTTGGCACTAGCAGCCCGCCGCCGCCTGGTGGTGCAGCCTCCTACATGACTGGCGTCGCGCTGCACTGCATCCTTGCGTCGTGGACCTGCGCGCCCTTGTCCTGAACTGGTACGTCCTGCATTTCGTGTACTCTAGCCTCTGCTTCAGCCCCTGGGTGTGGCCGTGATGCCGCTCCGCGCCCACTGCCAGGGTGATACAGCTTTGGCTGGCCGCCCTGGCCGCTCCAAGGCGACGCACCTCGCCCTGTGAATGCCCTCTGCTCCCCCCTTTTTCCCTCCCGCGGCCGCCTACCCGTGCCCTTTTCCCCCCCCTTTCCTGCCGGACAATGAGCACCTGCCGTCTCCCGGCCCGCTCGAGCGCGCGTGCGGACTGCCTCTGCCGCGCTGCGACGTAAAAGTGTGTGTGTGTGTATTTGTGTGTGTGTGTGACTGCGTGCGTGCGTATGTGTGTGTGTGTGTGCGTATGTGTGTGTGTGTGTGTGTGTGTGTGCGGGGGGGGAGGGGGGGCTGCGCATGGAACCCCCACGTATGTGGAACCCCATGCGTGTTGAACACCGATGTGTCTGGAGCCAAGTGTGTGCGGTACACCGCGCGTGTCAAACTCCATGCGTGTGAAGTCCCACGCATGCAGAACCCAACTTGTGTAGGCCACCATGTGTGTGGCACCTTGTTTGTGTGGAGATCCGTGTGTGCATGTACGCGCGTGGGACACCATGTGTGTATGTGTGTGTGGAGCCCCAGTTGTGTGCGGAACCCCGCGCGTGTGAGTGTGTGTGTGTGTGCGCGCGTGTGTGTGTGTGTGTGCGTGTGTGTGTGTGTGTGTGTGTGTGTGTGTGT